CACCTCCGCAGCAGCACTGAGGAGCCCGGCTCAGGCCCCTTCCCCGCTAAGTAGGCGAGGCGACCCGGGTACCGAGGTCACGCAGCAAGGAGGCGCGTGGCTGGGGTGCGACCGGGCTGCCTGGCTGCAGGCCCGCTTGGTCCAGGGATGGACTGCATCCCGTGTGCTGGACGTTCAGGCTGCTGGCCACTGGGCGGGGCATCCACAGCCTGGTCACCCTGAACCTGGAAGCTGAGGTCTCGGTGGCTGAAGGGACGCTGAGATCGGGGTCCCCCCCACGCCCACTGCACCCTCTCAGGGGAGGTCCCAGGGCCAGCACAGCGGAGGCTGGGGTCGGACACGAGTGAGTCCCGAGGAGAGGCTCCTTACATCGATCTCGTCCAGCGCCCCGTCCAGGTACCGCCGCACCTGGGAGTTGATCTCCGCGATCTGGACCTCGTCCATGGGGTCATAGTTCACATGGGAGCGGTTGGCCTTGGGGGAGGAGGCAGAACATCATCAGCTCGCGGTGCTGAGCCCACGGGGGCGGCAGGGGGCAGCCTAAGAACCAGCACGGGAGCCTGGGCACCTCCTGGCCACCAAGCCAGCCCCACCCTCTCTACCATCGGGCCTGGAGGAGGGGCCTGTGGTCAGCAAGGGACAACCGAGCCAGCGGGGGGAGGGGAGGCGCCCGGTACGAGCCTCTACTCCAAGCGAGGGGCTCTGCTGGCAGGTTCGAGGAGGAGGGCATGGGAGGGCGGTGTGGCCTCGGCCTCCCGGCCCCTCTGGACCTGAGCATCACCCAGGCCGGCCCCTGCACTCCTGGCTCCGTGCTGCTCCCTCCACACCCCAGCCTGCCCCACATCCTGACCTTGACCCATCATGTCTGCCACGTACCCCAACCTGCCGGCCCCCGGCCCCCGGCCCCTCGTCCTCCTGCCGCCTGCCACCTGCCTGCCTCTGCTCCCTGGCCATCCAACCCCCTCCCACCAGGCATCCCTAGTCCCCCCAGTCTGTGTTCCCGGAGTCTCCCTGACGACGTGGCCCCTGCCCATCTGGCCCCCGTGCACCCAGGCCTGCCCCCAGCCCCCTGGCCCCTTACCAGGCTGTCGTGGATAGCCAGCTCCTGCTTGAGCAGCACCAGCTCCTTCTCCAGGTTCTTGACCATCCGCTGCCAGGGAAGCATCGTGGGGCGGAGCGGACAGTCAGAGAGGCCACGGCTTCTCTCCGTCAGCCCAGTCCCTGCCCTCCGTCAGCCCGCGGGCCCTTCCGTGGCCTGATCCCGCGTCTGGGCAATTCCCTCCCCACGGGTGACTTTCCCCAGCTGGGGTGAGTTTAGGGTTTGAGGGGCCTCGGCAGCCCCGGCAGAGGAGACTCAGAACAGAGTGAGCACCGGCACCCTGAGGGCCGCACCAAAACCCAACTCCCACACTGGCTGGTGTGGCCCAGTGGGTAGAGTGTCGGCCTGCGGACTGAAAGGCCCCAGGTTCGATTCTGGTCAAGGGCACATGCCCGGCTTGCAGGGTCGATCCCCAGTGGGGAACGTGCAGGAGGCAGCCGATCCATGATTCTCTCTCATCATTGAGGTCTCTCTCTCTCTCCCTCCCTTCTTCTCTGAAATCAATAAAAATATGTATTGTTAAAATGGCCACTGGAGGGAGCCCTTGGCAGCGGGATGCGGGACCCAACTGTGGCCCCTGCCCGAGGTGGAGAACCTGGCGTCTGGGAAGCGACTGCTCCTTCCGGTGGGCTTACTCAGCGGGGAGGGGGGTCTGGCTGAGCTGCTGGGGGTCTCCGACTGGATGACTGTCCAATGTGACCTCTGGCCAATCAGGTGACATGGGGAAGTGGGCCATCTGCCCCGGGGGTCACCAGCCTCCAGGACACACCCTCTTCCACTGACCAGGGAGAAGCTGCTTGGACGCAGGCTGGAGCGGCAGACCCCACGGAACGGCCTGGCAGCACTCAGCTGGCCAACTGCCTTAGAGAAACCGGAGCGTTTCCTGGTGGAATGAACGCTGTGGACACAGCACAGGTTCACATTCCCTGCTGGCCAGGCGCTTTCACCGTCACGCACGGAGGATGGCTCCGAGAGCTCTGTGTGAGCCAGTCCACACAGGGTCACACCAGGCCACAACAGGCAGCACCGGGCCACACCGGGCTGCACCGGGCAGCACCAGGCAGCACCAGTCCACACAGGGTCACACCAGGCCACAACAGGCAGCACCGGGCCACACCGGGCTGCACCGGGCAGCACCAGGCAGCACCAGTCCACACAGGGTCACACCAGGCCACAACAGGCAGCACCGGGCCACACCGGGCTGCACCGGGCAGCACCAGGCAGCACCAGTCCACACAGGGTCACACCAGGCCACAACAGGCAGCACCGGGCCACACCGGGCCGCACCGGGCAGCACCAGGCCACACAGGGGCAC